TCCCCTCCCCCACCCCGTCTCCGGCCCAAGGGTTGGGCCCGTTGTGGTCACCGGCCAAGAAGGTGGGACCCGGTGGGGAAGGGACAAACGGCCGGACGTGGTTCCGCGCCTTCTCACACCCCTTTTCTATTTTAGGATTCGATAAAACTAATTAATCACCCCTTAATTAACGGCTCGGCCCTACTTTGCGGTTGACGAGTGGGGCCCGATCGGGCACCACAAAGTCCCCGGCGCCCGGTGCCGCCGCCTCAGTCCCTCGGTGGCTCCCGGTGCCTTCGGGTCCCTTCTTGAGGATGGAGTTGGGTTTCTTCTCCTTCCTCCTCCTCCTCTTCCTCTCCTTCGTCCCCCGGGAGGGTCTGGCAGGTAAGAGGGGGACAGGGTGGGGTCGTCTCCATCCTCCGTGGTCCCATCTCTGTCCAAAAATCCCTCAAAGTGGGTTTTTTTTGGAGATCTTTCTGGGTTTCTTGGGCCCACTGGAAGGTTCTCTTTGAAGAACTCCCAACCTGAGGTCCCCTTCCAGCCCCCTGCGAGAACGGCGGCACGGCGGTGGGGGAGGGATGCGTTTGCCCCCCCGGTTACAACGGGACCCGTTGCCAGACCCCGGACCCGGCCAAAAGTTGCCAAAACGGGGCCACCGCCGTGGGGACCAAGTGCTACTGCCCCCCGGGATTTCGGGGTCCCCTTTGTCAACACCCCGACCCCACCGGCGCCTGCCAGAACGGGGCCACGGCCTTTGGGACGGGGTGTATTTGCCCCCCGGGCTACCGGGGAGAAGTTTGCCAACACCCGGAGCCCCCCGATTCCTGCCTCAACGGGGGCACTTTGGTGGGGGCCACCTGTCGCTGCCCCCCGGCAACTTGGGGACCCCGCTGTGAGTGCACCACGGTGGCCACCGCCGCCGTCTCCACGCCAAGGTCTGACAGCACCTGGATCTTACGCCCCACGGGGACCCATTCCACCGTCCTGACCACCTGGGGAAGCAGCGAGGTGGCCACCGTGGTGACTACCAGCGCGGAGAGTAAGGCTACGGCAACGCCACGGGGAACCCGGGTAAGAAGTGCCGTGGTCACCACCCCGGAGAGGAACACCGTGGCCACGGTGGCAACCATCGTCCTGGAGAACAACGCCACGACCACGAGAAGCAACACCACGGCCACGGAAAGCCACACCGTGGCCACCACCCCAGAAAACCACATCGTGGCCACGGTAGCAACCACCGTCCTGGAGAGCAACACCACGACCATGAGAAGCAACACCATGGCCACAGAAAGACACACCGTGGCCACCACCCCAGAAAGTCACACCGTGGCCACGGTACTAACCACCCTCCTGGAGAGCAACA